AAAAAAAAAAAACACAAAGAAAAAGCTGGTCCTTCATTCCATAGTTGTCGCCTCTTTATTCAGTCTGTTCGCTCCTTTTCAGTCTTTATTTGGCGCCACTAAACAGACAAATAGACTAAGCCGTTGACCAAAACGATGAAACATCGATATCGACGATGGGTAGTGGTCAGTGGTATATCTGTTGTTTGTCAACTGGTCAGTTATTAAATATACCGGAAACATGAGCAACCGATGGTTGACAGATACCGTTTACTGTTTTCTCTTAACGGTACGGTGATGGTCAGATTTAGACGTTGAATCTCCGTAGCCGATACATATTTTGTATTATCGTTGACGCTTAATGGATAGAATTTTTCGGTTTATGTATATGTTTGTGCATTATTTATTCCAGCCACTTAAAAATCTGTATTTGGCAGTTTTCCCTTATTATCGTCATCGTTGTCCACTTATTAGTCTGAAATTTTTTTCAGTTTTCTTTCTTGCTTATGGTTCACCATATTACAATCTTATCTGCCCAATTTTTTTTTTCATCTTCTCACTTCTGTTACTATTTTTTGTACTTTTAAAAGTAATTTTTTGTAAAGGTTTATTTTCATAAAACTTTTAGCTGACACGCTGTTGAATAAATGACTTGATTATACTGACAATACTGCAAAGTAAGCTGTCAAATTCTAGGTTTTCTTACCAAGTTTTACGTACTTTAAGTTTAATGAAATAGGCGAACGCTGGAATTAAATTAACCGATAGTTATTATTCATAAGTACTTTTTGCATTGTCAGCTTCAGCGAAGCATCTGTTGTCTTACGTTCTTGGTTACGTCTACTAAAGCACCGGGAGCGCTTGGTAGTCGGTAAACTTCAATCGTTATGCTAAGAATGTTTTTTTTTTTTGCACTGTCTGCATTTGATACTCACCTGTGGGTCTAAGTAACGGTTTTTTAATTTTTGATTAATCATATAATTTTTCAAAAACTGCTAGTACAAAGAAAATTTTTTTTTTGTATTTGCCTGACAAGATTCTTCAAAAAAACAAAAATAAAAGTTACGGTACAGAAATAACTTTTTTTGGAGGACGATGAAGTATTTTATTGTTGCTGTACGATTGGGCCTAAACAATTTGTTGGAAAAAAAAAGTATCTGCAAAAAATGTGCTTAATATGAAAGCTTTTGATCTTAAGGTGCAAGTTGCTATTAAGCAGGGACAAAGTTGAAGACGAAGTCGTATCAGTTACTACCATTCTGCATACAATTTATGTACTTTTATTGAGCCCTCCCCTTAATAAAACAAGGCTACTGGCTCTTAAATCAAGAATATTTCTGTTTCAAGCATATTTTTTTCGAAAAACTGGTGACAGTTTTCTGTTTCTTTCTAAATAGGAAGTTAAACGTTCGTTGGTTATTTGTTGATAGTCCTGAAAACGAATTTTAAAATTTTAGTAAGGATGAGAGAGCAGTTGCTATCACATAGGTGGCTTATTTATTACTGTCGGGTTTCTGTCACAAACTTTTATAGTTTTTAGTCAATTTCATGGCCAGCAACTAAACATGTGATAACATAAGGTTAAATTTTTCTTTGCTCTGGAAATACTCATTTCTTCTCTTCATTTCTCAATCTTGACAATCTTTGTTCGAAAAGAGTTGTTTTTAAAAGTAGTTGCGTCACTATAATTAACTATGTGATTTCTAATTCAAAAGTTTTCAATGTGACAAAGCTGTCATCAGATAAGACAGTTGAAAAAATTACACAAAGCAAAAATTAGTTTATGGTCAGCTTATGGTAATAGCAAC